GGACATAAGAAAGTGTTGGGGGCCGCCCTGCCTGGTCTCAGGAAGCTGTAACCCCCTGTGACTTAGGCTGAGTGAAAGACCTCCAGACCAGGAGCCACTAAGGTGACAAATCTTATTTCCCTGGCATGAATGCTGCCTGTTCTGTGCCGAAACCTCCTAGCTTGATCAGCTAGCCAATGACGGGTAAGATTTCCCACGGAGGGAATTGCCTAAGACAGGCATGATCACGTGGAGGCTTCTGGTTAGAGACTCAGGGTTGTGGAAATGAAGGGGTGATTGACATCAACCCCTGCCCCCTTTGGCTTTGTCAAGGCCTGAGTCTTTGTTCTTACATGTGAGAAATCCAAGTCTCCTGGCCGCCCCTGTCCTCTGCCTTTCTCAGGCCTGGGGAAATTGCAGGGGCGGTGCAGACCAGAAATGGTGGACCCCCAGGGTAATCAGGCCTGGGACATAGAATATGCAAGATCCTGTGAGATCTGTTTGCTGGAGGATGTTATTAACTTGGAATTTAAAAGCAAAGGCAGGAAACTTTTGGAACCTGTAGCCCTTTCATATGTTAAAGACCACAAACCTTGCCCAGAATCTCAGCAGGAGTTCTCTCCCCACCTTTGTAATTTGCCTACATTTTTTTATCTTTTCTGTCAGACTGTGAATCCACAAACTAAGTCTGTTTTCTCAATAAAAATCTGCTTGGGTATGGACACGGCATGCCCTCCAGGAGAGAGGGTGGCCAAAGGTGCTCCCCACATGAGGAGTGGTCCTTCTGTTCCTATTCCCCCACAGGACCTGGTTGTCTCTGTATGTTTTTCTCGTGTTTCGATGAGCATCCACAGCCGAGATGGGTACTGCTGAACAGTATCCTCTACAAGAAAGAGTACTGCCCTGTGCAGTGCTGGCAAATTAGTGTCAAATTTACTAGGAAGCTACTATGGCTCTTAGGCAAACCCTGAGGGAAAGACTGCTACTACCCAAACAAGATGGTTTTCTTCTTTCAACGTTTAGGTAGTTTCATTGGAATACAAGCTCAGTGAAGCCCAGGATGAAAACTACTGGGCATATCCCCCATCATTCTGTCTGACTTTTACAGCATGATTACAGCTACACTGGCAGATGTGAGTGTTCTGAAGATGATGACTGTGAGGGGCGGAATGACAGTTCCCCAAAGATGTTTGCCTCTAAATCCCCAGAACTTGCAGAAGGTACTTTGCAGATGTGATTACATAAGGATCCAGAGATGGGGAGCTTATTCTGGATTTATTCATGTTAGGTCCATGCAATCATAAGAGTGTTATAAGGGAAAGAGGGAGACAGAAGAGTCATAGTTTTAGAAGAAGATAGAACAATGAGATTATGCAATTACTGGTTGCCAAGAAATACTGGAAGTCTCTAGAAGCCAAAAAACAAAATGAACAAAACAAAAACAAACAAGGAATTTTCGCCTCTAGTTTCCAGGAGGGAAAACAGCTCTACTGACATTTTGATTTTAGCCTTGTAAGACCCTCAGACTTTTGACCTCCAGAAATGTAAAATAATTTTGTTCTATTTTAAGGCACTCTGTTGTGGTAATTTGTTAGCACTAGTAGGAAACTCACACCATGGCAATAGTCATAAGCGTAGCAGCCACAGAGCAGGCATCTGCGTATAACTGCTAGTTGATAATTCTGATCTATAAGACCCAGTGTTTCTCAGTATGCATACTGGATCTGCTCAAACCCTGGTATGCTTTTGTTTTCCCCCCCAAATATTCAAGGTTTAATAACCTACAACAGTGCATCACTGTATATCACTATGGAACTGGCCCAGCCTGGGAACGTTGTAAATGACCTTGTTTGGACTCACTAATTCCCTGGCCCCTGAGCTGGAGCCCAAGCCCTGGGCAGGTTCTCGCTGCCAGGATGAGTCATTCCTCTGCAAATCTGCTGAGATGCCCACTAGCAGTTTGGATTTAGTCTGTGAAATCTCTGAGAACTATCCTGGGCTCCTTGAGTCACTAGTATCCTGGGTTTAGTGACTACTATTTCTTTGGGGATACAGAATGTTGTTGAATTATATCCAAAGGAAGGGGTGCACAAAGGTAACAGTCTAGGTAGAGAGAGAATGATTGAGGAGCGGGGTGGAAATCAAGGGAGGGACTGGCTAGAGACTATTTCTGCTGCCAGTGTCAGGCAAAGACAGGTGGCATTTTGTGCTCCTGAGTTAATAGTGCTACCTAAATTCCAACCTTAGTGAGCCCAGCAATGTGATACCACTAGGTGTGCAGAGCACACAAAACAGCAAATAAAAGTCAAATTTAGCACACCACTTTTTAAAATTAAATTTGTGAAGAACATGGGTCTTACTTTACTTTCAGATATTTAGCTATTGTATCCCTTTTGCTCACCTATAGACCAGGGCCTCAGGATGTTTGGTTCTTTTTCAAACTTCTCTCTGCTCCTCTGGAAAATGAAAGCATTGCAAATGTGAAACATCATATTCTGAGCCAGGTAGCATACTAGACACTTTATTTTGTTATTGATTTTAGAGAGAGGGAGAAGGAGAGAGACACCGATTTGTTGTTCCATGTATTCATGCATTCAGTGGTTGTTTCTTGTATGTGCCCTGACCAGAGATTGAACCAACAACCGTGGTGTATCAGGATGACACTCTAGACATACTAGACACTTTAACTTTTTGAACTGTGTGAAACCCATCAAAATTACTATTACCCCAATTTTAAGGTGAGGATTATAGTTCACCAGAATTAGTGACTTTTAGCAAAGAGGGTGGTGTTCAGGAATAGAGAAATATCTAGGGTCTGGACTCCTGCTCAGGGGCCTTGCTCATCTTTGGGTTTATTTGAGATTTACCTGACATTTACTTAGTTCCTATTGTGTACCAGGCACTATGAAATGTGACAGATAAAGCAGTGAATAAAACAGACAAAAACTCCTTTTCTCATAGAATTTATATTCTGGTATATTAGCAAGATCCTGAGTTTATTTCATTTGTATCTTGAGGTTTTCAGCAATACATACCCACCATAACAATCCACTGAGATAGATGCTTAATTCTGAGCAGCATTCGAGTTGGTGACCTGACTTCAATCCTTAACATAATAAGCCCAGGGGGAGTTCTGACTTCAGACTTCCTGTTAAATTACATGTTTTGACAAGAAGAGCTGGAATTATGCCATCATGGTTCAAGTTTTAATTCCATAATGATTCTCAGAGGTGACAAGCAATAGTCCCCCTGCCCTGCCTTCTCTTCTGTTCTTTGCGGGTATGAGCAGCCATGCCAGGCCAGGACCAGGCAGAGCAGTTGGCACAGGCTGGATGTCCCATAAATGTTGAATCCAAACTCTATCTTAATGTGGGAATTCAAGGAATTCTTTCCCCACAAAAACCTACACTTCCACTTCCTGTAACTTCTGTCTAAAATTACTTTTTCAGGCTGCCAGAAATGTGGCAGATTCCCTTGAAAACAGTTTTTCACTTTTAACAGGCAATGAGTGGAATTGCTACAATAATTTTTGAAGCTCATGGACATAATGAGGCAGATGAAAATTTCTTGGCACCTGTAGAAATAATTACAAACTCCTGAGCTAAAAAAAACTGAGTTAAGAGCATGCTTGTCCCAAAGATGGAAATCTTGGAGTAGCCTGCCACCTTCAGGATAATTTACCAACTAACTCTACCAGAGAACACTGGTTCTAACCTCTATAATTCAAAACCAATCCCAGTAAAAACTCTTCATGATAATCAATGGTGGAAGCTAGGGTCCTTGTAGTACTTTTGCTATGATTAAACATATTTAATAATTGCATTAGTTTCTTTAAGTAAACTACCAGTTCTTTACTTCGATTCTTTTAAAAAAATTATTATTACTTCAAGTCAGTTACATTTACATGGACTCTTTTCTCACTTTTACCCGATCTAAAAGCAAAACAACAAGCAAAACCAACAATCAATTCATTTTGCTGAGCAGGTCTGGAAACACCAAAAACAGATCTTTGCAGCCACAGTCTGTGAAAAATATTGTAGCTTTGGAAACCCTGCTACTTCCTGTAGGTTCTTTTATAATGGATTAATGACAATATTTCTAAAGAATCTAAATAAAATTAGCAACACCGTAATCTATTCAGAAATGGGGGGGGGCGAAGAACACCACTTTTTTTTTTAATGTCTAATTGGCGTTCCTTTCATTAAGTTACACGGGGGTTTCCCTGACTTAAAAAGAAATGAGTAAGGAAGGGAAAACGGGAATGGTGCGCTGATTCAGCACTTAATACAAATTAGTATCAAAATAAAAGTATGGACAAATAATACAAATTAGTATCAAAAATAAAGAGAAAAGGACTGGCCGCATAAGTGATATGGATAAAATTAGGTCAGATGAGCTATGACAGCGGGATGTAAAAAATCAAGACAAAAGAGAACAGGGTGGCTCAGAAATGCATCAGGCAAGGGGACAGGAAAATAAAGGGCATTTAAATAAAAGTTTCAGAGGATACATATTCATCGAAAATGGGCACACCCTCATAACGCTCCTTTCACAAAAGCAGGAAAGGGCATTTTTCAAACCTTCCTTTATCCGGGTGCAATAACAGGTAGTTCCATTTTTATTGGCTCCTCTTTCGCTGCAGGGACCTTCGAAAAAACTTCAAGGTCAATATCCTAAGGACTTTCTCTACTCAGCCTGCAACTTTGGAATCACGTGGAAAGCTTCAACCAATGTCTGCCCTCACTGCAGATGAATTAAATCAGAAAGTCTGAAAGGCAGGGAACTGTTTGAAAGCGTCCCGGGTGTCTTCAAGAGTCTCCAGAGTTCAGAACCAGAGTGTGCCCGAGCCCTAAGGTCCTCCCCCTCCCTTCCGAGGCAGCCGCAGGTGGGAGCCCCTCCCTGGAGAGAGGCGCTTTGATTTACTCCAGGCGGAGAAGCGTCATGTACCCTCCTAACCGCAAGGGGGCAGACCGCGCGCATTTAGCGCTCGTTTTCCGGTGCGAGAGCGGGTCGACCCGATTTGCGCATGCTCCGTGCGTCCCGGAGGTCACCCTCGCCGGGATTCCCACGTGCGGTGTGAACCTAAGGGCATCATGTTGTGAGAAGATGGGGGCTGCGGTGACTCGCGCAATCAGGAATGTCAATCTGGAGAACCGGGCGGAACGGGAAATCAGCAAGATGAAGCCCTCTCCCGCTCCCAGGCACCCCACCACCAAGAGCCACCTGCGAGATCAGATGAGCAGTAAGTGGTGCTCGGGCCCTGCTCACGGGCTTCTTGTGTGGGCAGTACCGCGGGGGTGGACGTTGGTACAGTGACCGGGTTGACAGGACTCGGCCGCAGTGGTTCGGGTCCAGCCAACCAGCCGGTGGCATTGAGCCAGCCCCCTTGGGCCAGCTATTTAGTCGGCGGCTCCCCTTGCTTCCTTGTTCCGGAGGTGAGGACCGGTGAACACACCCGCTGCCTCAGTCCTCGCGGGTTTTTTGTCTTTCACGTACGGCCTCTTGGTAGGGGGAATCACTTTCAGAAGGACTTACGTGCAACGGAAGTTGTCCCCGGGTGTCTTCACAGACCAATGGACACCGAGCCTGACCTAGCACTTGGGTTTCCTTTAAAACATTTTTCATACTGTCCAAGTGGTGGTTTCTTAACAAAAAATTAAAAGTGACTGGCGTGTGTTAAGTGTTTAGGATCTCAAAGGGAACTTTGCTTTGCTTTTAATATTGTGACAATCTTTCTTTAGGCAATCCAGATATCAAGAAAGAAGTTGATAGAAAAGATGACAGACTGCTGTCATTGCTGAAAGATGTCTATGTTGATTCCAAAGATCCTGTGTCTTCTGTACAGGTAATGTGTGTTTTAATTAAGTAAATAATTTATCCTTTTTGGACTCCAGGATAATTATCAGAAAAGTGTGTAGACAGCGTGAGGAGCTCTGCAAGTGTAAAGTGTCCGTGTAGTTGTGACCAGAATACAGTGCATTGCCAGAGTTTAAGTCCAGTGGTCTAAGCACGACACACATGCCTTGGTTCATTGGTTATTTACTGAAATTCTAAAGGACTTGTGAAAGTACTGATTGAATGCAACTGTATGAATTATTTTATATTATTTCAGAACTTAGGGGATTTGATAAGGTACTTCTAGTGGTTCTCATTTGAATGACCAAAGGAGAGCTTTAAAACTATTCTTACTCTTCAGTGTATTGAAATATGTTCTAACCTCAGGGGTTCCTTTAGTGTTGTATTGGTGGTATTTGGGTTTTTTAATTGGTTTCTTAAGGATATGTTCAGATGGGATATGTAAAAGGATACATCGAGAGCAGGAACCTCTATGTAAATCCATATATAAATGCCAGGCATAAATGCGTTGTATATAGTAATGAACAAAATCTCGTCCTTGTTCTCACAGTGCTTATGGCATTGTGAGGGACATAGGCATTAAGCAGATGAGCAACCATATTACATAATTACTGATATGTCTGTGAGGGAGAAATATAGGCACAGTGAGTGTATCAGGAGGACCTGTTTGAAATTGGAGGATCCCGGTGGTTTCTGAGGAAGTGATATTTGAGCTCAGGCCTGAAGGATGAGTGGGAGTTAACCCATAAGTTTGTGGGTGCAGGAAGGTTCTAAGTAAGGAGAAGAGTTTGATTAAAGGAGAGTCAAGTGCCTGTGACAACTTCCAAATTTCTTTCCATTATAAAATTCTCTGGTTCTCACTCTCTGGATAGGCAATATGCTCTACAGGTACAGTTATTAGTATAATTTTGACAGAGAAGAGAATAAAACTCATGTAAAATAAAGGGTTTCAAGTATTACATGTAATAGTTACTGGGTTTAGTTATCACCAGATGCCCACATAAAAAAAGATAATAGGAGTTGATGTTCATGTTCTATTATTTTTAGGCAGTTGACTAATATTTCCAAGTGTTGTTTTTCTCATGTGCACTAAACCATGCATTTGAAAAGTGGCTCTTGGGGAGCAAAAAATATGTAATGCTTTTTGCATATAAATCATATATAGACACAGTACATAAAGAGATATACAGTGGTATTAAAATTTAAAGGCATTATTAGGAAAGTCTAAACAGGCTCATGGGGGAGTGATTTATAAAAAGGTTGAGGTACCTATTTATGTTCTTTGTCCCTTTTTTTCTTTTTGGCAGTTCATTTGTGATGCCTCTAGACATTGGTGACTGCGCCTACCATATGTCAAATAATTATTTTTTATCTGATTTTTTAACTTATTGTCATTCAAAAGTCTGTGAAATAACACCTTTTTGTCCTTTGTGCTTTACGAAGCCTGGGCTCACTCTAACATAAAAACAGTATTCTGAATTTTTTCCTAGTGCTTTTATGACTGTATGTTTTATGTCAAAATTTTCTTTGCCATTAAGTACAGTGATGTGTGAAGATTTTTTTTAGTTGAATGGTCCATTGTCTAAACAAAATTTATTGAATAACCCAGTCCTTTTCTCACTCCTTTAAAATACTAGTACATACACATACTAGTCTGTTTATGGATTTCAGTTTTATTTATTTTTCTATTTCTATATTAGAATCATACTTTATAAATTTACAGAGCTTTGTAGTGTATCTTGATATGCGTTAGACCTTTTCTCTCTCTTTAAAAGTTTCTTAGCCCTTGTCACACATTTTTTTTCCAGATAAACTTGAGACAAAGTGTCAGGTTCTTTAATAAGTTGTACTTGGATTTTGAGTGTAATTGAAATGGATCTACATGGGAGCTTTCACTTTTGGAAAGTGAAATTGGGAAGAGTGTTTCAGGCCGTAGTTATTATACAAAAATAGGAGATCATATCACACCTTTGGAGTAGGGTCAGAGTTCAGCACAGTGAGGGGGAAGTGTGAGGGATGAATTTGGGAGAAATGAGGTGGGGTGGGGGTGATAGGAGCCAGAGCATGGAGGTCCTTTTTGTCTTGATAAGGAATTTGGGTTTTATCCTGTGAGGAAGGGAAGTCATTGAAGAGTCTTGTGGAAAAGTGACTTGAGATTTGCTTCATAATAGGGACTGTTTTGAGAATGGGCTGGGAGAGAACAAAATGTGTCTTATCCAGTGAAAGGACACTAGTAAGAGGCTTTTGTAGTAGTTTCTTCTAGAGATGTTGGCGTGGACTAAGGTGATTTAGTAATGGGGAGAGAGGTGAATGGCTTCCAGAGGGACCTTGGAGGCAGTATCAATAGGATTTTGTCCCTGATTGGACATTATGAGTGAGGGAGAGGGAGGTGTCAGTGTAACAGGACATGGGAGAAGTTTTGGGTTTCAGAATGGGATATGGGAAGTGGGTGGTGTTGAGATAGAGAATATGGGGATAGAATTGGGTTTTCAGAGGAAAGGGATAACTTTAGTTTTAAATGTGTTGATTTTGAGGTACTTGTAGATTAAGTAGAGATGCCCATTCGGTGTTTGGGAGTTTGAGTCTGACAGTAAGGAGAAAGGTACGGGTTTGCGATCACCTTTGGAAGTAATTTGGGTAGTGATGGAAAGTGCAGGTGTGGTGTGGACTTACTTGGGAAGAGTGATCGAGTACAGGGTGACAGGAGGGCCTGGGCCACAACTTGGAGCACACCGACCTTTAAGGAGCAGCTGCAGGGAAAGAGCCCACGAGCTAACGACGAAGGGACCACTGGAGAGACGGGTGGAACACTGGGAGAAGGGTGGCACTGAAACCGGGTGTCAGATGCTACAGTGACTTCAGATGAAGCCTGAAAAGTGCCTTCTGGACTAACATCTAATCTTCTGGATTAAGTGTCACCAAAATCATTATGTTTTAGAGCTTAACTAAAAAGAAGGAAGTGTTGGTTTGGGGGTGTTTTCAGAAGGCAACTGGAGTGTTGTTATATTTTGACCAAACAGCAGCATTAGGCAGGGTGGGGTGAAAGGACAAGGGCATGATGATTAGCAGAACTAGGTAACAGGAATGAAATGCAGCTTGGATGGGGCAGGCAGATAGAAAGGTGGGTGTGCATAGAATGTTTCATTTGTATTTGCTTGAGTATTAGAAGCATTTGTTTATTTTCTCTCAAGAGGCAAAATCTCTAGCAGCATTTAAATTTATTCACAGCATTTAGAGGCATTGGATATAAAATGGCAAACTAGGAAACAGAATGGAGATGATAAGGCCGCATCAGAGCTCTGCCCTTTTGAAGCAGTCTTGATCTAATCAAGTTATTGCTCTGTTAATATACAAGTGAAATGATGTGAGTAGGTGGTATACATTTGAGTGTTATTTTCTAGAATTACCTTAATTTCTTAATGATTGACCTATAGTTATTTAATGGCAGTGTGGCCAGAATGCCATTATAATGAGAAAACGTGTTTTGGAGAAGCAGGTATTGTATGTATTGTAGATTTGAGAAGCATGCTGTAGATGTCAAATCTTTTCTCTCATCTTGAAAGCCTTTTTGTTTGTTTTCATTTTTTGATACTAGGTAGAAGATGCTGGAACACTTCAAGAGCCAAAGGAGTTCCGATTGCCGAAAGGCCATCACTTTGACATAAATATTGAGAACATTCCCAAAGGCAAAATTTCCACTGTAGAGGCACTGACACTTCTCAACAATCATAAACTTTATCCAGATACATGGACTGCTGAGAAAATAGCAGAAGAATACCATTTAGGACAAAAAGATGTAAATTCTCTTCTCAAATATTTTGTTACTTTTGAAGTCCAAGTCTTCCCTCCTGGAGACAAGAAAGCAATACAGTCAAAATGAAGGAAATCGAGTTCTTTTTCCTATGTACTCCCTGTCCCCATGCCCTGTTTATTTTCTCATTGTTAGCATGTTAAATTATATACATTACCAAGTGTTTAAAGCTTCCTCCTTGTGAGAGCATCCTATTTATTGAGCTTTGCCGCATTTTCAGGACTATTGATAAAAATAAATTTTGTTTTCAACTTTAATTTGGTTTAGGCATGTGTTCGTATGTAGTATCAGCATGACTAAATAGCATTTGTATAAATTTATTACAAATAAGAGTTAATGTGTTATTTTAAGCACATCATATCATCAGCTTTTAAATTGGTCATATGACCTCTTAGGAAAGGCCCTGAATCCCTCATTTAACCTTTAAAGTTCCATCTTCCAATTCAGGTGGTCAGTGTATTTTCCGTGTGGGTAGTGAAAGTAAGGGCTTTCCTGTCTCCCAAGACCAGTGTTTGCTTTTTGGGGACAGGGAGGCTTGACAGTGAGGTAGAGCAGCAACTGAAAGCAGATAGGAGGCTGCATACAAAATACATAGAAAATACATTTTTACTACTACTCTGGGGATACAGATCAGTAAGGTCTTTTGTTGTTTTGAAATAACAAAACAGTTATAAAAAATAACCATTATAAAAAAGCATTATTTGGTGTTTACAAAATTTTAGGAAATCTCTATTTTGGCAAACATGTAACTCCAAAAGCTTTCAGAGAGGCAGGCAGAAATGGAAGCTATCTGAAAAGTTAACTTTTCTCCAGACTTAATATAAAAATATAAGAAACTTTTACAGAATGGTTAAATCAAAGAATCACAATGAATAAAATTTGGTGGCCAGCTATACAGGGTCTGGCAGAAGTAAGGCTTGCTTGAGTGTGCTTGGTGGGACAATATGGATGTAATAATTTATAGTTTTAATTTCAACATTTCACCTACAATGTCATGTGGTATGCTTGAGTGTGACACGTTGCAGAATTACAAGCTTATGATTTCCTAATACAAGATTTTGTAATAAAAAGGGGCTTTACTTGTGCTGGACCCTGTATATACTTTCTAATTTAAATGCTGATTGAAAAAAGAAAAAACAGCAAGTAGAAGTAAAAAATGTGACATTGGAAGGCACTTGGGAAGTTGTTGCTTCATTTAATAAATGTACGAGGACACCAAATACCAGAACCAGGGTCCTGAGCAGAATTGTGTGTTTAATTCTGTCATACTAACTAACTGAGATCTTGGATGGATTGTGTAACCTCTTCGAGATGGACTTTTTTGTATAAGTGATTGTAATGCTGCCTTACTTAACTGTGAGGGTTGCTGTGGAGATAAAATAATAAAAGACAACAAGTATGATTTTTCTTTTTGCAATTGAAAGTGGAGGCCTGAGGAAATTTTATGACCTATTTTAAGATTATTCTGTAGTTTATGAAATAGGCTTAGAGTTTAGGTTTGCAAAATCCTAGTGTCAGAAGCGTATCTCAAAAGAGCAGAAGGTGTGGGTTGTAGGAACTTTGGGGAATGTGGTTAGAAAAATTTCAGGTTATCACTGCCTTTCTGAGGAAAGATAGACATCATTACTTCCCAGGAGGTCCCCTGGAAATGGGGTGGAAGATGCTGAGGCATTCAGCATGATGATGGAATTAGGCATGTTTAATACTGAGAAGAGCAAAATTGAGATAGGAAATCTTTAAGCTTGTTTTCAAATGCAGTTTCATTATATGAATATACCTAGTTTGTATTTAGTTCAAAACAGTTATTTTAAAGAAAAAAAACGCAATATAAAATTGCATTTTAAAACTCTGGAAAATCAATCATTAAAACTGTCCTTTATCAAATAAAGATCAATACTTGAATCACTAATAGTGCTATTTCTGAGCCATTTTCCCTATTCAAATCTCTGCTGTGAGTAGACAGCTGTAAAGGTGGCTGTTATATGGTGTCACAAAATAAAGTACTTTCTATATCATTCATTGGCCTATTACTGCTTTTTATTACATATAGGGGAGCACTTGGGAAGTAGCAGTGTCACAGAAAGCGTGGAGTTAGAAAACCTGTGTGGTCTCGGCATCACCACCAGCCATGTGAGCTTGGTAATGCACTTAACTGTAAGGCAGGTAATAATTGCTAACAAAACCAGTTATGGGGCTAAGCACCAATCTGGGTACTTTACGAGTATTAGTTTGCTGAATATTTAGCACACATCTGAGGATAAGTACTGTTAACCACAGTTTAGAGGAAAAATGGAAGCATGAAAATCAAAAGTAACTTCAAAGATTACATAGTGTTGGAACCTAGATTTAAGCCCTAGGGCAGTGATTTTCAACCTTTTTCATCTCACGGCACACATAAACTACCAACATTTTGCATTACACCAAAAAAATACATTTTTTCCCAATCTGACCAAAAATAAGTATAATTTTGATTTATTAAAAAAATAATTACCTCCCTGGCTGGCGTAGTTCAGTGGGTTAAGTGCGGGCTGTGAACCAAAGTGTCGCAGGTTCGATTCCCAGTCAGGGTACATGCCTGGGTTGCAGGCCATGACCCCCAGCAACCGCACATTGATGTTTTTCTCTCTCCCTCCCTTCCCTCTCTAAAAATAACTAAAATCTTTTAAAAAATAAAAAAAATAATTACCTATCCTTTTTGCTTAAAGTGACTTTAAGTTATCAGGTTCCTATACTTGTATACGAGGTTTGTCCAGAGGGTATCCAGCCATATAATATGAAAAATAGAGACACTTATTGAAGAAGATACAAGACACAAGAAACATTGTACATAGGACAATGATAGCTCAGTCCCCTTCAAAGTAGGCATCTTGGGACCTCACACAGTTCTTCCAATCATCATCAGCTGCACTGTCATATCTTCCTGAATCTCATCAATGGTCTGAAATCTCTTCCCTTTCAAAAGTGAGTTTAGTTTTGGGAAAAGCCAGAAGTCACTTGGCACCAAATCTGGGCTGTAAGGGGTCTGAGCCACCTGGGCGATTTGATATTTCACCAAAATCTCTGCAGGAGACGTGATTCATGAGTGAGTACATTGTCGTGATGAAGCTGCCAATCACCTGTTGCCCATAGCTGCAGCCTTCTGAATCATACAAATAGTTTCTGCAGGGGAATGTTCAAACCTAATGCAAATTTTGATGTAAATTCATTGTTCTATTCACTCAGTCACTTTGAATGCCACAGCCACACAGTACACACATTCACTCAGTGGTGCCTACTGACCCCATTGACTAGGACAGTAAAGTCATCATTCACACATGCACATTTCAGCCCACTCTCCTTTGCTACCAGGTTATGTCAATGTCACTCAAACCATTCTTGTTATATTAACAATGGCTGGACTTTTTCCAGACACACCTTATATAAGGATTTCTGGCACCAAGAATTAACCCCAAACTTACGTGATGTGACCAATAAGATGCAACTCAACTGTATGAACTATATATTTAATGGTTCAAGACAGGGTATTCATACTGGATGGCTGCTGTTGTTGACTGTTGTCATTTTTTTTATTTGACAATCTAGGAAAAGGCTATTGCATGTTTTAAAAACTCTTGCAGCACATTGATTGAAAATCACTGCCCTAGTAGGTTATTTTCTTTTCTCTTTTTCAAAATTATTTCATTTTTTTTGTTTTATTGTATTTTTTCCACTACCATTTAGTCTTCTTATACCACCCTCTCCCCACCAATCACACCTTGTGCTTTTAACTACTACACTGCATTGCCTGTCTGAGACTCTAAGGATTAAATGATATGGCATGCAAGGCTCCTGGTGTATATGCAGCCAGGACTAGTCACTGACCCCTCTGAGAATCACCTGTGGAGCTCTGGAAAAATGAATGTTTGGGCCCTGTCTGCTATGATACACTGGCTGAGTAAGTCTGGGAGACTCCTTTGTTGATGGTCTCTGGATCAGGGATTTTTTTTTTCAGTCCTCACCCTAGGATATATATGTATTGATTTGAGGGAGAGAGGGAGAGAGAGACAATGATGTGAAAACATGGATCAGCTGACTTCTTTCTGCATGTGCCCCAAGCAGGGATTGAATCCACAACCTAGGTGTGTGCCTTGACCGGGGATGGAACTCACAACATTTTGGTATATGGAATGATGTTCCAGCAAACTGAGTCACCTGGCCAAAGCCCAGGGGTGGCTTTTAAATGTTTAATGACTGTGGCACCAGGCTGTCCAAGCAGTTTCTGCTGACCTTCTGTGCAGGTTGCATACCAGTATTGTCTGGGTCTAAAGTTTACTGCAAAAGAAGCAAATGAAGGAAGGAACAGGAGATAGAAGGTTGCCTTTGAGGTGGAGAAGCTTCCTGTAGCATGAAGAGAGGAAAAAATGAATTCCTGGATCTGAAAATATTTGGGATAGCAGGGCCAGGAGAGGAGGAAAGGAGGTTAATCACAAGGCAGGCAGGAGAACAGGGATCCAGGGAGCTGATAAAGGAAAAAAACCAAAGTGGATGGATCTGTCAAAGTTCTACCACATGCAGGGTCACCATGTAATTTATTGTCCAAACTGGGACACTTGAGAGTGATAAATGCACCAATTATATTAGGACAATAAGGACAATAGACATAAACTGGAATGTCATGGACAAAGTAGGCAGTATGGTCATCCTAACCACAAGACGAGAATGGAGGTATTAAAGGCCACTTGGGATCTGGATGCCACTCTCTTATCTCCACTTTGCCAACACTGAGCACTCAGAAAGGATCCCTGCCTGTCTCAGAGGGCTTTGATTGGACCCAACAAACACATGTGCATGGACATCCCCTCCTCCATATCTGCTCCATGTCCTTAAACACCAACAAAAGCAGGGCAAGGCCCTGGACCACTGGTGGTATGATGAGGAAGCTTCTGTACTCATACATGGAGGGTTTGAAGGGAAGTGGCCCAAAACATCCTGAATTAGCACTATGCTTAAAGACAGCTTGTTGGGTGCAAGCTGCAAATATGCAAGAAATGAGCATGTATAAAAAATTAAAATGGGCCCTGGCGGGTGTGGCTCAGTGAATTGAGCACTGGCCTGCAAACCACAGGGCTGCTTGTTCAATTTCCAGTCACAGCCCATACCTCAGTTGTGGGTCATGTCCCCAATAGAGGTGTGTGAGGTGCAACCACACATTGCTGTTTCTCTCGCTCTCTTTCTCTCTTCCTCCCCTTCTGTCTAAAAATAAATAAATAAAACCTTTTAAAAAAGATTAAAGTGGTTTGTGCATCTGAAATAGCTATCACTTATTGCTTGATAGCTGTTCTTACCTGTCCTGACAAAACCCAGTGCATTAAATAGTTTGAGAGAAAGAATGTCTGTCCATTTGTTTATCTGGATACTCCATTTCTTCTGCTTCAGGAATGACAGCATCGAATTACTTCTTAGGAGAACTGGAGTATCAGAAGCACTTAGATCTAAATCCCTATATAAAAACTAACGCTTCACATTCAGAGCATTCGGGTCACTAATTCCATGGCCTTGCTTTGTTTGCCATTGTCACTGCTCTAACAGTAGAACAATGTCTTGGACACATGTGTAGAATTGTAGAAGAGAGGCTCACCAGTTAGCCCAACAAGATCCCGAGCAGAGGTAAAATCTGTAATTTTTAATGTATGGGTATTGTGAGGTATATAATAGGTAACACCAAAATTGCTTCCTGTGAGGAAGCAACAGGAAGGTCGTCACAAAGATGAATAATTTTGGGATGAGAATTTAGTTACAATGGGATAAGTAGTACTTGGGAGTGGAGAAATTAATCCCTGTGAAAAAAAAAAATAGATAACTGTACACCCATGGTGAGCAGGGCAATTTCTTGGTTGCATGAGAGACTATCACCCTCAGAAAGGTTGTCGAATTTTGAAAGAGGAAAGCTGCAACAGTGTCACCTGACTGACAATGAACTCTGCTTATGATTCTAAAGCAAGTAAAATAACAAAAGGATTTGTGTGGGGGATTGATTACTGACCTTCACATCTTGAAATAGAGGGGGAGGGGCCACTAAGGACAAAATATAAATAACAGTTATTTTTAAAATAAAACCTCAGGCCTTTTTCTTATTTCAGTAGTGTAAGTATTGATTAAACTTAATACACACATATTTGGTAGTAACAATTCCATTTAGAGATACTGATTTTGAGCAGTTTTGCTATTTTAGTATGTTTTTTAATGCACCCATAACACAAATCGTCCAATAATGTAACAACTATATGATGAAGATTATTACTTTTATTTCAGAATTATTTATAATTTCCTTTCATTTTTTGGTGATGCTTACTACACTGCAGTATGTTTCTGTGTAAGTTTAAAATTTTATTTTTCTTTTAGTTTACTTTTTTAAATACATGGCATTATGATTTCACATATGTTTATCGGGTTGGTGAGTAAACAGTGCTGCTCTTTGATACCCCAATAAGAAATGATATAAGTGGGCTTCCGTTTATTATTTAGGTTACTACTAGTGTAGGGAAACCTTTGCATAGAGAATGCAACTCTTTACTAACTCCATTCATTCCTCTATAGGCCATTTTCCATTCATAAAGATTTCTGTATCAGCCTTCCTGCTCCTAGTGCTGGTCCACAACTATTGCTGTTGGTTCAGATAAGAAGCTTGCAAATGGAAAAACCACTTAATATTTGCCTTGTAGAAGGAAAGATTGAGAGAGAATAAGAGAGGCAGAGACAGAGAAAGAATGGAAGGGAGGTATGAAGAAAATAATAATTTTTTGCCTTACAAACATCCCAGAGATACCACAACATCACCAGAGCAAATGAGTACTTTTTCTCCTCTTAGATTTTTCTTCTCACTTTTGTTGCTGGCCCTGGTGCTTCTGGAGGAATAGCAAAGGGTAAGATAGAATATTCTAAAAGGTCCGGGTGTAAGAGATTCTGAAGCCTCAAAATGATATCCTTAACAAGGTCTTTAAATATTTAGGTTGCCACCTTCTATTTTTTAAGAGACCT